TAAGGTATGTTTTTCCAGCAATACATTTTGTAGTCAGACTTTCTCCCCTTGTGACCCAACTTTCCTTAGTTTAGAAAGGGAGGATGGTATCATGGAAAAGGCACTCAGTGTGGTGTCAGGAGATTTGGCTTCAAGCACCTCCTCTGATACACACTAACTACAGATAATTTCATGTCTCTGGGACTCAGTTTCCTCTTCTATAAAATCTGTATAATACTAGTCCTATTAACCTGATCAGATTGTTGTGACAAATACATATTATCAACTTTAAAGCATTAATTATATATGATTTTGGTCTAAAGCTCTGGGATTTCATCCACATGGGAGTTGCCAGCATGGAATCTCTTTCCACTTTTGCAGATGCAACTCTTCTATTACTTGTTTTGGAGAGTTGTCTGGGGCATTGAGTTCATTGGCTGTTCCGTGTTCACACAGCTAGGGACTCCTTTCAGGCATGGATTGGGCTATATGTCTGCTAACATCCCTTACAATTACAAAATTCTGTGATTAAGTGTGCCAGAGGCAGGGCTAGAAGCCAGGTCTTCCTAACTCCAAGGCCAGCCTTCTATCCACTATGATGCATTGCCACCCGGGAGCTCTGTAAATATAAGTAGCTACTATCTCTTCATCAGTGAGATGATGTATGTTAAGCATTTTGAAATCCTTAAGGTGCTATACAAATGTAAGCTATTGTTATGAATTTGCATAGGCTTATTTCCCTTCCATTCCCTAGCAAATCTTTCTCTTTTCTTCTCTAGCCCTGTCCACTACTCCCCAAGTGTCCAGTCCAGTCCGGCCTAGTCCCAGCTAATCAGTAGTCCTTGAAATGTTAGCTGGGCTTGGGGAAAAGTGGTGGTGGTCCAGGAGAGAGAGCTGCTCCCATGGATTCCCTATGCCCCAAGGTGTGTTTTCAGGCTTTATATCCTGTTGTCTTACCTTAGTCCTCTCTTGCCAGTTTAACCCCAACATCGTTGTCAAAAGTATGACCTGGGGCCAGATGTCTCCAGTGATCTCAGTCAGTCAAGAAGCATTTATTAAATATGCTAAGCATGGGGGATATATAAAAAAAAAGGGCAAAGACCAGTGTCTGCCCTCAAAGAGTTTACAGTCTAAAGGAAGAGACATCTTGCAAATAGCTATGTGTGCACAAGCTGTAGACAGGAAAAATATGGGAGAATCAATGGAGGGAAGGCACCAGCATAAGGGGGATTGGGAAGGGTTTCTGGAGGAAGATGGGACTCAAGAGGTGAAGATGAGGAGAGAGAACATTGCAGGCATGAGTGAACAGCACTGAAAATGCATGGAATCGGGAAATCTTTGGGGGAATCACTTATATTGCATGGCCCTGGTCAGTCATAAGATATGAAGGTCAAAGGGACCTTCCAAGTCATCTTGTTCTGCTTCTTCATTTTAAAGATGAAAGAAGTTAGGTCTTGAGAGGAGAAGTAGCTCAGCTAACATCACAGAGACATTGAGAGTGAGAGCCAGGACTAGAATCCATATCCTCTTAAGAACAAATTCAAGGCGTTCCCCCATATACCATGCCACTTCTTTTCTCAGATTTTCTCAGAACATTGTCAAGAGGGTTTCCAGAATCATGGCACCCTTTAATAGTCTACAAATAGGCTCCCACTTGAAGTGGCCACCAGATTCCCACACTCACAGCCTAGAGGCCGACACCATCTTGGTTCTAATTGTGGTTTCCATTCATCTCCCACTCCACTTTCCATTGGGTTTAATCAGGACAACTCAAATTCTTCTATAGTTTAATTATTTAAAAATTATAAACCCAAGTAACTTTATAGGAAAAAGAATGTATTGAATATTAAGTTCTAACTATTTGTATCCCCCTAATTTCTTGTATACTTTTCCGTGTCAAAAACCAGGATGAGTCACAGTCATGTAAGCCAAAAGATTTTTTTTGATTAAAGAAGGGGAAACAGAGTCAGATTGCTCTGAGTACTGCTTCAATTTCATAGGGAGCAACTTTACATTTGAAGGAAGGGATGATTAAGCAATAGTGGAAAAAATTCCAAGAATATTAAATATTTTGTGTGTGTGTTTTTTTTTGTTTTGTATTCTCACACCATGATATCCATGTTTTATATTCTTAAATATTTTGCCTTGTAAGCATTCTTGTGATTTCATAAAAATGTGCTTGTCATATCCATTGAATTATCAAAATGGCTCCAAGATGGAATGTCTTGTTCTTCCTTTTCAATGGACTCTTGCAGAATTGGAAGGCACCTTTGAGGCCACCTAGTTCGACTCTGTAATTTTACGGGTCAGGAAACAGGTCCAGAAGGAGAAGTGATGACCCTGAGGTTACACAGCTAATATGTAGCTGAAATGGGATTCAGGTCCAGCTCTCCCAAGTCCCCATTCAGTGTCCACAGCATGATTCCCCCCCCCCCCCAATTGTATACAGTACATTTGCATTTTTTTGTGTCCAGTTATTTTGAGACTTTATTTCATCGCATTTCCATGCATACTTACAGATTTCAGGCTTGCCCTTTTCACATCTGTACAAAATCCTATGGAGTTACTGCACCCATTTTACCAGTGGAAGTAAGAAGGGACAGAATTCTAGGCATAGGGATGAGCAAGTACACAGGCAAAGAGAGATAAGAGACAGAGGACTGGGTATGAAATAGGAGTAAGGTATACAAAGACTGGAAAGAAGAGTTTTAAGTGCTACACCAAAGGGGTTTATATTTGAGCCTAGAGTTAATAGGGAGCCACTAGGGTTGATTGAGTAGGTTGGACATGGTTGGATGTGTGCTTTGGGAATCACTTTGGCAGTTAAGTGGTGGATAGATTGGAGTGGGGAGAGCCTTGAGGTAGACTGAGTCATTAGGGGGTGATCGCAAAAGATCCTGGTGAGAGGTAATGAGAGCCTGAAGTAGTGAAGTGGCCATTTGAATAGAGAGAAGGGGCTGTATTGTAGAGACACTGTGGAAGTAGGGATGACAAGGTTTGGCCATTGATTGGACATGAGGGGTAAGTGAGAAGGAGGAGTAGATTTTGAACTTGGCAACTGGAACTATGGTTAAACTCAGGTCTTTCCGAGGCTTTCTGAAGCCAGTTATGCACCCATTGTGCCTTATTGCCACTCTGAATAAATATAATTCTATTTAATTTTGCTGGATTAACAGGTGTACAATGGTATATTAAAATTGTTGTAATTTGAATTTTTTTTCTTTATTAGAGTACATTTTTCCCTAAGGTCATCCATTGTCTGTAATTATCAGCTCATCTCTGTTGACTGCTTCTTAAAGGTACCTCAAAACTGACTGGGGAGTATTTATATCAAGCCTTTCTAATCTTGGATCAGTAAGCTTTCATCAGTTATATTGGTCACATCCATTGTTTCCCATTCTGCTATTTTTCTTTCGAGATTAATTTCTTAATGGTTCCTTGTGCAAAATCTTTTCAGATTTTTGTTTTGATCTTCTGATATATACATCTTATACCTGGTGATTTTCTCTATTTCCTCAAAAACAAGAAACTTACTTTATATCTGCCTTGCTGTTGTACCCTCAGGAATACTGGGTCTTATTATGTACTCTTCAGCGGAATCCTGTATAGGTTATCTCCCCCTATTAGAATGTAGTCTTGAGAGCAGGGACTGTCTCTCTTTTCTACTTTTATACCTAGCACTATGTTAAGTGCTAGGGACAAAGTTAATAAATGCTTTTTCAGTCATTCATTCACCATCCAGTCATTCTTAAATGAGTTACTCTGTTTTATTCCAGGTTTTTCTTTAAATAACATTTTTTGGGGCAGCAGGAGAAAATCAAGAAACTGTGCTGACTGGCCTACTACAAATTTATATTACACAATTCCAACTGGGCCTCATTGAAACAAGGCATTCCTTTAATACATCTGTAACTGAGTCCCTATACTACTCAAGACAGTTACTTTTCCAAACCTTTTAGTTAATTCTTAGACCTCCTATGAGTCCTCTTTCTTCTGCTCCCTCAGTGGAGAACCTTGCCTCATTTCATTGAAAAAATTAAGGCCATTTACTGAAAACTACGCTCATTCTTTCCTCCTAATTTCATATTGCTAAGATGCCTTCCCCTACCATCTCCTCCTTTACCCCATCTCATAGGAGCCCTTCTTACCAAAGTAAACGCTTTCATAAGCATGAATGATTCCATTCCATCCTGTCTTTTCCGGTGGGGATCCTTGCCCCTCTCTCCCAGTCTATTGGTGGCTTCCTTGATGTCTACAAACATGCCCATGTCTCCTCCGTGCTCAAAACCCTTGAATGGTTCTATTCATCCCTGCTAACTACCATCCTCTAGCTGTCATTCTTTTTATGACTAAGTTCCTTGTGAAGGCCTTCTACAATCAGTGCCTCAACTTCTTTTCCTTTCATTCTTTTCTAAAATCTCTGCTCTAGCTTCCAACCTCATTATCCAACTGACACTGACTTACTTGCCTGTAGTTCTTCATCCAAGACACTCTATTTCTTGCCTCCAAGCATTCTCACTGGGTATCTCCCAGCAGAGGGAGCCTGGTCCTTTTCATCTCTGCCTCCTGGCTTCCTTCAAGTCTCAGCTCAAGTCACACCTTTTGTAAAAAAGCCTAGAGCCTTCCTTCTTAGACTATCCCCAATTTACTCTCTCTGTCTATCTCTGTTGCTCTCACTTTATCTGTCTGTCTTTTTTCTCTCTCTCTCTGTTTGAAATCTGGCTTTATGTAGTTGTTTTCATGTTGTTTCCTCCATTAGAATGCAAGCTAATCGAGGTCATGGACTACTTTTGCCTTTCTTTGTGTCCCAGTGACTGGCATGTGGTAGGTGCTTAATAAACTCTTGTTGATTTGATCATCCAGAGTTTATGACTTTTTGTAATGTGAAGTATGCAAATAAGTGAATTTTATCGAAGTGTTCCTTCCCTGGAGTTTGGGGTTGGGGGACTCCCTAACTTCTGCATGATAGAAGAGAAGAAAGAAGAGAAGGAGAAGAGCAATTGGGAGAGGGAGAAAAGGAAGAAGGAGGAGAAAGTGCTCCTAACAAGATGATGTCCCTGTGGAAAGAGATGTTTGAAATATTTAGAATGTTTAGATGATTAGAAGCCTCTCATCTCCCCAGTATCTGTTGTCTAGCAGTTGAAAGTAAGGAAGAGACCAAGACTGTGGAATTCCTTCTACATACACACCTCCCTCTCCATTGCCTCACATCCCTACCACATTTTCCTTTCCTCAATAGACCTCCTGAAGTACTACTGTTGTAGCTTTCTTCCCTTGGCCCTCCCCTCTCCTTGTCTCTTACCTTCTTCTGTGTTGCGCTCTTGGGTCCTGTGGCCTATGGGATAGATGGAGAGAATTAAAGACCTGGAGAAAAATTATGAAGACCTTTGTCCTCTGTGTGGGGAGCTAGCCTTTCATTTCATATTGAGGACCATGCCACATGGTGCCAATTCCCCAATCTAGCAATTATCATATTGGAATCTCCTTGTGGGTGTAGAATAGGGGCTCCTCAAGACCTAGAACAGTCTCTCCCTCACCCCCAGCCAGCATGCGGCTGTCTCTTTTCCATTGCACATGAGGACTGGTCAGTGACTGGTGGTCCTCTGCTTTTGGTTTTTCCCCCAGTGTCCGGCAGAGGGTTCCATATGGCTGACTGCTCCCTTCCCCCCAGCAAAAAAGTTTGCCTGGAATATTGGCCTGGAAGTGTCCTCAGACCTTGGACTGCTGCTGGGAACAACACTTCTTCTTTACTTTTGTTCTTCCCTCCCTCTTCCCCTTCCTTGTTCCTACCCCATGCATCTTTTTTCCGCCATATGATGAAGGTCACAGCTGAGATCAGGACCAGAATGGTAGTGATTGAGATACTTGGAGACAGTTCCCAGGACTTTCCTCTGGTGACTTTCCTGGGTGCTACAGGTAAGGCAGAGGCAATAAACACAGCAGCATTGAATAATTCTTTTCTCTGCCAATGAGAAGAGTCTTATGCGATTCACCAAGGTTGAATTTCAAATTACACAAATAGCATGCAAGTGAACCCCTGTTCCCTTTTGAAAATGATGGGATAGTTGGGGGGGAAAAAGCCTTTTCAATGGTCTCAGATTTGCTACAGAAGGGGAAGTGGCTCATAGGGTAGAATGCCTGCGAGTTCCCAAAGGAGATAGTCCTACGGAGGACACCCCGCCCACTTTTGTGGGGAGGAGCTGGCATCAGAGCTTGGGGAAGGAAAGCTCTTCTAGCTTCCTGTTTCAAGAGAGTATACACATGTTTCCAGACCACCTTTGGGGAGAAAACCCAGAGATTGGGGGAAAAGACTTTGGGAAGTAGCAGACAAGTAGAGAAGTCAGGACCTTAACTTGTCTCTGATTTTCTGGCTTGCTTCCCTAGAGACTTGGGGGGATTTCCTCTTGCATGATATGGGAGGCATTATGGGTTGAGCTGAAATATTTTGCTCACAGTAGGAGAACTCAGTCATTCTGTGTATTGTCTGATATATTCTAAGCTGAATAACCTCTCTGAGCTTGTAGGCTTGACTAAATGGGTTTGTTCACCACTCACTATTTATGATGATTTTTTTTTTTGCAGTTAGCATTTACCTGGAAGGAATCAGCCTTTGTATATAATTAACACTCTTTTCTAATTTAGGGATAGTGATCAGGAAAATGTCCGGAACTTAAAAATCATTTCGTCTAGTCTAGTGATATATAGGGAGGCAGGTAGATATAAAAGTTCTGGTGCCCTCTTTCTGAGGAGAACAGAGTGGCCAGCCTCATGTCCCCTTCTCTTGGACCTCTCTAGGCAGGAATCAAAGGCTCCTTTGAAGAGGGGTGGGCAAGATTTCAGAAGTATCTCTTCATGATTTCCTATGAGCTGATTTTAGGCTAACCTATGCGGAGATGCATAATCTACACGGGCCCCCTCCCCACCCCCACACACATCCCATTTTCCAGACCTTTCATAATAAGCCTTTGGGCTCACTGCACACCTCCAAGAAGCCACTCACCTGGGTATATGGCAGGCGTCCCTAGCTGATGGTGCTCCACAGCACAGGCATAACCCTCTCCAGGATCCCTGGGCTGGAGCTCCACAATGACTTGGAGGTAGAAGGTAGCATCAGCATTGGGTAGGGTACCACTGGAGCTCTCTTTTCCCCATATGCCCATTTGCCCATTCTTTTCCCAGTGTAGCAGGATGGGACGGGGGTAGAAACCCCTGGCTGTGCAGAAGAGGGTGATCCTGCCATCTGGGGCATCTTGGCGAGACACGGTCACCTCAGGGGGCTCTGGGAGCAAATGAAAAGAAAGGCTGCCATTTTGAAAGATCAGTGGACACCTGCCATTTTCCTATTACTTCTAGCAACCAATAGAAAATTTTTTGTTTGGCCTTTGGAGATTTTCACATTAAGACACCTTTGCATATTTCCAGCCTTCTTACATTGGGCATAGAGAGATAAACATGGCATGATGTCTGCCTTCAAAGACCTTACATTTTCCTGGGAAGGTCAGAGGTGCAGACAAATAAGACAGAGATATAGATGAATAAGTATAATGTAATGAAAGATGTGACAGGAGCAAGGAAGAAGCCAAAGTGCTTTCGGAACTTTTGAGGAGGGAAACATCTTCACATTAGGAGAATCTTCACAGAGAAGGGGCCATCTCAGCTTGAAGAAAGACAAAGATTCTGAAGAGCAGAGATGAGGAAGGAGTTCATTCTAGGAAGGCAGGATGGGATGTGTGGAGAATAGAAAGTGAAAGATGACTGTTTTAGCTGAGTCAGTTTTTGTGTTGTCACATTTCATTGCCTATGGCTGGACATATTTTTCTTAGGGATGAAAAGACTGAGCTCAGTTGTGGAGGGTCTAGGCACATATCATTGCAAAGCTCTTCTCTGCTTCTGGAGTTTAGGACAGCAGATCACCTGACTGCAAATTCAAATGCAGATACTGGGGAATCTGAATGTAACCTGTGGCACAAAGCCCAGTGCGTGGAACTTTCCTCACTGGGGGAGACTGATCATTCAATGATCCACTTCTGTATGAGGGGCAAAGTTATCAAGAGCTTGGAAGAAGAGAGAGAGTGAGATCTGGGTCTTCTATCTTCCAGCATGGATAGGGAAGACACAGGTTCCAGAGTCTCTTCAGGTAGAGGTCCTTAAAGGGAAAGACACTAGCAAGAAGCTGACAGGAGAGGAGCTGATAGTCTCCATCATGTTCCTATCCCCAGCTTGCTGCACTTGAGACTTTGGAGAACTTCCCCTTTGGGTTGGATCTGGGACCCTCTGTCTCAGTTGAGCTGAGATTTCTCACTCCCAAAGGCAGAGTTCATTTACTCTGTGGATTATCTGGTATATATTCTCATCTGCATATATCTTCCTTCAGTAACCTGAAGACAGCCTGGAACTTTGAGTTTTTTCTTTCAAAGCTCTAAGCCAGGAGACCAGGATCTCTCTCTTCTCTCAAGCTCAACAACTCTGCCCCCCTCCACCCCCACCACCAAATGGGGTATTGAATAGTCATTCTTCACTATGAAGAAAATAGTATATAAATGGGCTCTGAGGCTCTAAACATACACATGAGCTCTGGATTGCCTTTCCTAGAGGATCAAAAGCCAGGACCAAACAGAAGAAAGCAGGAAGGAACCACCAAACTATTAGACTTGAGTTGTTGCATGGTCCTGAGTTCAAATCTGATCTCAGCTACTTACTAGCAGTGTGACCCTGGACAAGTCACTTAGCACAGTTTGCCTCAGTTTCTTTATCTGTAAAATGAGCTGTACTCCCAGTGTCTCTGCCAAGAAACACCAAATACAGTCATGAAGAGTTGAGCATGACTGAAATGACTTAGTCTTGGAAGGAACCTTGCTGCCCACACTCTCCTACTAAGCAAACCTGTGATTTGCATAAAAGATTGGCTGTTTGACAACTGTACATCCTTGTGACAGCAGCGCTAGCCTTGTAAATACATTGTCTTCTCAGAGCAAACTCTGTATAGATAATTTGGAAACTGCTAGGCTGAGGATTTCCAGCTGTATTCTGTTCTCCTAGTGACAGTTAATAAGAGTCATTACTACTCTCAACTGCAAGCTTGTGATTCACATGAGAAGGGGACTCTGGGGTCTGGGGACTTACCATTCTCCTTTAGGTGAAAAAGGTCCAGGACAACCTTCAGAAATTTCGGGCACTCTTCTATGAGTAGCCTGTCCCATTGGACGCTGTCCTCCAAATACTTGCAGAAGCGTGTGACTTCTGCCTTCTTGGTCACCCATCCCTCACTGTGCTCATCCAACTGGCAGACAGTCTCACCATCGAAAGCAACCCGCATTTGGCTGTCCACTTGGATGTCTCCATCCAGTTCACAGAAAACTGTGACCTGGGTTATTTGAATCTCTGTTGGGGAAAAGAAGGAGAAGGGCTGGACCCTTCTGAGGGGCAATTGGAAAAGTATTCTTAGGGGGCCTAGATGGGGACACTTTGATCATTTACTAGAACACTCAAGCCCTTGGGCCAACCTCCTAGGAGCAGGTCTTGGCATCTTCAGGGGAGGAAGGTAGAAAAGGTGGGAAAGGGTGAAGGAGGGAAGGACAAGGCCCTGGGGTAGGAAACTCACCCCAGGTCTCATTGTAAGAGACCATCCAGTAGGTGCAGAAACGCCGCAGATCATCCTCTGCCCCTTGCTGCAGCTGCTGGTTCAATCTCTCCATCAGCTTGTTCTTCAAAGGTGGGTAAGCCCAACCTAGTTTGATTAGCAGCTCCTTGCTCTGGGTATTGTAGGAGAACAGAAGCTGGCTGTCCACCCACACATTGAAGATGATGTCTGGAAGGTTGTTGGTTATGGCCAACCCAGTGAACTGGGTCTCCAGGCTGTGGAGGGCTGCATGACAGACAGGGGGACTGTTGCATCTAGACATACCCTCCCACCCTCCCCTTTTCATTTCCTGATGGCAAGTATAGCTAGGGCAGAGAGAAGGGGGTCATGAAGAGTCTGGAAGACTGAAATAATTCAACAATTACAACAACAATGCTATCTTGACTATCAGGTGTGATAAAAAGCTCTTTGTAAACTTCAAAAATGGAAGTTATGGTGATCTGAAC